CGTTATCGAGCGTTCTGTAGCTTGCTATAAAATCACAGAATTCAGACAGAAAAACGTTTTGTGGTAGAAGCCCATGGAGTGTCAGAATATTTTAGAATGTCCATTAAAATGTTTGTTCAGCAAATCTCAGTTATGGTAAAGAAATTCCGTGATTATTCTTTAGAGGCCCTTGTAGCGTACACCATCAGCGCACGAGAACCTTTGGTGGTCAAAATTATACGGAGCTTATAACCATGCCGTTTAAATTGCGCAAATTTTATAACACGAGTACACAAATCATTATTGCTGTGTAATTTACAATGTTCCAAACCCGCGGCTTGCATGCGAACATTTTATAAATGTTTGATTACGATGTTCCGAACTCGCATGAAAGCATTTTAAATGAAACTCGCGCGTTATTTGTCGGAAATAAAATAAAACGAAAATATTGCCTCAAGAAAATAACAAACGAATACATGATGTATTCTTACTTCCTGTGTCATTGCCGTTACCATGTTTTTATATGCGGTTGAGCGGTCACCTTGGAATCCGAGTCGACGTCGTACATCCGGTAAGCGGGGTTTAGAAAGGAGTATGTGGTGACGCTAGGAGCGACGAAAGCGAGTCCGAAAGGCCGTGACCGTTTGGCGGAGGAGTAGTACACGATCGCCTCGTCGTAATGCGTGTGACCGTAGAACTGGCCGACCACTGTGTCTGAAAACCTGCGTTATGCGTTCGGAATAAACAAAAATATGTCGAAAATTCCACTTTGTGAAGGCGAATGACCATCGAAGATGTGTAGCACATATGCAGAGGTCACACAAAATTTTGGCGACAGGTGCAAAAAGACATAAGATTTTGATTCAAGGTACAGAAAGGCACGAAGTTTCGATTAAAGGTACAGGGAGCCACAAATTCTTGATGAAAGCCATAGAAAGCCATAGAATCTTGTGAAATTACAGAAAATCCAGAACATTTTTGACAAAAGATGCAGAAAGCCACAAACGTTTCATTGAAGGTACTGAAAGCAACGGAACCTTGATGAAAGGTACAGAAAGAGACAGAAATTTCATGCAAGTCACAGAAAAGCACAGAATTTCGATGAAAGGTACGGAACACCACAGAATTTCCATGAAAGGTGCAAGAAGCCACAAAAGATAATGAAAGATACATAAAATTACAGTACTTTGATGAAAGGTATAGGCAGGTTACAGAACTTTGATGAAAGGTACAGGAGGTCATAGAACTTATATGAAAGATACAATAGGCCACAGAACATTGATGAAAGGTACAGGAGGCCACATAACTTGGATGAAAGATACAGGAGGCCACAGAACTTGGATGAAAGGTGCATGAGGCCACATAACTTCGATTAAAGGTACAGTAGGCCACATAACTTTGATGAAATATACAGGAAACCATAGAACTTTGATGAAAGGTGCAGGAAGCCACAGAACTTCGATTGTAGGCACTGGAGGCCACAGCACATTGATGAAAGGACCAAAAAGCCAGAACTTCGATGAAAAGTACAGAAAGCCACAAAATTTTTATGAATGGCATAGAAAGCCCTAGAATTTAGGATTGATGCTCAGAAAGCCAAATAATGCCAATGAAATTTACAGAGAGCCACCGAATCTTGATGGAAGGAAGAGAGAGCCCCATAATTTTGATAAAAAGTTCAGAAAGCCACAGAACGATGCTGGAAGTTACAGTAAGCTACAGAATTTTGATAAAAGCAACAGAAAGGTACAGAATGTTGATGAAGACGCAAAAGGCACAAATCTGAAAAATTTGGCCGATATGCTTTAAATATGACCACTTGGATCTGGGTGGGCCAGTAGTGCAATGCGCACGTTATGCACATTTTTGTTTTTTTAGTTATTCATTGTTTAATATTTGATATTGTAGTAAAGAGTTCGTCGAAAAACAGCTGTGTGTATTGATATCGTACGTGTATATATGCATTTATTTGCTAATTGATTAATTCATTTTTATATTGTTATCTTCATTGTAGTGTAAAAGTCGTGTATATTAAGGTTTGTCACATTTCTGTGCCATATACCTGTTAGGGGTTTTCTGTTGAGTTTATTATGGCCTTGTTATACAGGGTACGTTAGCTAACTCTAGCCAGAGTTTAAAAATATACGGATCCATACGGTGCAACTAACTCTATGTTGCTGATTGTTGCATGGAGTAAACTACGCTATTTTATTTAGTCTGTTTAATTGCTTAGTTAGGCTAAAATAATTACTTTAGTCCTCGAAGCAACGTAGCAAGGTGTAAAAGTTCAATTTAAAAGTTATACACTGGTCTCTTAAACGGGTGATTAGACAGTTTCCATCGTTCTATTAAAGCATTAGTTTTTTTCTACTTAGTGCCGATACTTGTGAAATGTTCATTTGCACACCCTGATTTTAGCGCCCCTTTACGTTCAGCCTGTCAAGTTTTAGACGCTGTAAGTCGCTGTTTCCGAAATCTTCATTTAGCCTGAATGCAAAATAGGTTGTCAAAGATGCTTGCCGGAATATCACGTCGTCATCGGTGACATATTCACTGGGGATGCCGCCCAACCAGCCCTTAAGAGGAAAAACATTTGCAACGGCCTTATCATGAACAAATGCCTTCGTTTTTGTGTCTTATTTTGCTTGCAATTTATTCACATATAAACAATTTGCTAGTGAATTAGCGATCTTTATAACGTGAGGGACATTGTCTCATTTTATTTGTGTCATGTGCCTTCAAGTCCCATCAATTCGGAATATGCATTTTGTATATTTCTGGCCACTTGTGATTCGCAACAAGCGCATGCATATGCCGTGCACCGGGTTATGCACATCTGTCCAAACAGCCTTTAAGTTACGACCTTGAAATCAAAGAAAACAAAATTTGTATGCCATCACCTTTCGACGATTTTGTGAAACATGGCGCTCCAAGTTTCAAGGCAATCAGATAAGCCAGGTGGTATGTGCCCGATCAAGTGAACCTAGAAGGTTGACAAAGCGAAGTGAGTGATGCTGCTGTTCGTATAAAATAAATAGTTCAGCCGGTATTCCATTGACTGCTGTGGCAAATGTTTATACCGGGTGCTTTAGTGGCTACATTACTTATATTCGTACACAGCTTTGTAAGTTCGCGGCACTTCTTCCTAAATGGCGGACGCACACAAGTCTGCACCAATGAGGGCACACCACAGACAGACGTCATGAGATGAATGGCAGGTGGCGCCGCCTTCCGAGAACATTTGCAGAGTGCATGCGCGGGACTGTGTGTTCAGTCACGGAGGTGATCGGTCACCGTGTTTCGTTCAATCCGCGTGAGGCTCCCCCGGACTTCTTAGTATCTTAGTGCAGTTCATTTGAATAGTTCTTGAAGGATATCAAATGTTTTCGACACTGAACGTTCACGTACACAAGCACACAGAGTGTGGCAATCGTGAGCACAAACATCCTGATCGTGCGAACGATCCTTCAAATTTTCTATCCTGAGTGATATTGCATCGATGCCTGTTGTTCTGCCATTCTTTGGTACCGCATTTCCCGAGAACACAGCACACACCACCAACATTGCCATAGTAATTACCGCATGTATTTTACGCACATTTCAGCGGAAATCTTTAAGACGCTATAAATAATACGTAATGGATGACCAAGATTTCAAGCTGGTCGTACAAGATGCCTTGTGTATAGTGCCTTTTTTGTAGTGTCTTCGGGCCTTGAAAGTATGTTTAATAAATAAATAAATAAATAAATAAATAAATAAATAAATAAATAAATAAATAAATAAATAAAGCAACGTTGCCCTTACGTTATGTCCTTAAAGAGGCTATGCACAAGCTCTCGTGCTTGGTGGAAAAACACGTACGGAGGAAAACAGATTCTGCTGTGAACTGCTCAGGCAAACCTTGAAGTCGTGCACGGCTGGGAGCGCTTCAGAAGCGTAACGCGAAGCTGCCGCTTTCTCGAGTGCGCTCTCTTCTCGCAAAGGCCCGTCCACATATTTTTTCAGCGTGCGAGCCGCCATGTCGCTATAAGGCATCTTCGTAGTCAGCCTGACTACGCCCACTGCAGGGCAAAGGCCTCTCCTATGTTCCGTCAGTCAACTTGGTCCCGTGCTTGCTGCGGCCACTTCATACCCGCAAACTTCTTAATTTCATCTGCCCATTTAACTTTCTATCTTCCCACCAACTCCCTTGCCTTCTCTGAGAATTCAGTCAGTTACCCTTAATTTCCATTGTTCGCTGCTTCGTCCTCCATTTAAGCAGAACCCTCTTCGTAAACCTCCAGGTTTCGACTGCATAGGTAAGTACCGGTAAGAAGCAGCTGCTACATATCTTCCTCTTGTGTTGAAGAGGCCGTGGATTTTGTTGAACCGCCTACAGTATAGGCAGTAATATACAAGAATTTCAAACCTCTGTTTAATAATTGGACGGAGGTGGGAAGGCTAAAGCTGGCAGATTAAAATTGGCGGTATCAATACGTATTTGAAAACACCACGCAGGCAAGTCACACCAACAAACAATGCACTAACCGCGCAAAAAAGTACTAACAAGAGAATCAAGAAACACAAACCTTGTCGCCAACGCGCTCGGCATCAAGTAGCTGGTCCACCAACCAGTGCAGCTGGTTTCCAGGGTCGGTCGAATTCACGAAGAGCCAGCTGTGGGTGATTTATATTGACATGTGTGGTTTAACTTCTCAAAAGCACCAGCTATGGATGGGCCATGATGCGGCCATGGACCAGTCACCAACAGAAAAGTGATGCAGATGCTTGAAACGTTTGCATAACTACATCAAAGTATAACCTCAAGTAGAACAGATACCTCTCTCATAATATCCATTTGTTTTACTTTTAATTTATCTACAAGTATAGGGTCAACATTGCTATATCGGGGTTACCAGTTGTTTCAATGAGTGTACAAGTAGCTTAATCTTGTAGTGACAAGTGCCAGGTTGCTCGTTCTAGTGTCGTTCCTGCATCATAGAAATGCCGGGCTGACTAAACAAAGGATTTAGAAATGCCGCATTCTCATGTGTTTCTAGCACCATCAGGGGCAGTTTCTAGCACTCTCGCTAAGTTTTTCATATCGGCTTTGCGTCATGGGGCTCGATTATTATACTGCATGGAAAACTTTCATGAAGAAGAGCTTCAAAGCCGTACAACCTTCACCTTACAACCACTTTCTAGTTCATTTGAACTATGCAACCCGCTACCCAATCCTTCAGCCTAATTTTTTGGCGTTGCTTAATCAGTTGCGTCACAAGAGCAAATTATTTTCCCTAGCTTGACAGGACTAGAACACCTGTTAGTGCACAGTTTGCATATGGCATTCTACACTGCAGTCGTTTACTTAAAAGAATACATTGTTTCACCATGTACTTACAAGTTGAAAATGTAGCAGTAGTTTGTGTTGAGCGATATCACTCGTAGGCCCTTCGTTGGCTTCGTGACGTAGTATCCTACACTGGTATAGAAGTGAAGAGATTGTTTACAGTAATGTTAAAACAGCTACGTGCTAATTGATCCGCTGTGATAATGCAGCGTGATTTCCTAATTGGAAAAAAAAAACGTTGCGAAAAGATCAGTAAGAATCTCAGTAGACTAATTCCCCGCATCCCCCCTTTTTATCGGAGGGTGTGTCGAATGAAAGAAATAGCCGGTGGTAGTGGCCGTCCCCGTGTCTTGATTTTCACTGTGATCGTGTCTTAATTTTCACTCTCAGTTTGTTTCCCAATCAGTTACTATGTTAGTCCAACTAGCCTTAACCTACAGTCCTTTTGAAGGAGCTTTGTTTCTAGCCTGCTGCTCACCAAATAATATCGAACCTTACTAGTAGAGTTCACAGGGTGCATTTCCGAAGAATAACACCTCGAAAAAGGAATATTCCCAACTATTAGTGAAATGCCCAAACTCAGAGGCAGGGGGACACAAGGTAAACGACACAAGTACTTTCCTCGCCCTGGTGTCTATGATTGCGCTATTCCGCTCACGTTATGTGCCTACAAGTCCAGAGTGCTTCCTTAGAATGACCTTGTAGACCTCATGAAAATAGAAAAATGACCGTTGGTAACGTTACATCAAACCAAACGTCCCCAAAAGTCATGTGTTCACTGATGGTGCTGTCCCTGCTGTCGTGATGCATTTACAGGTAACCTTAACTAGTGACGTCACTATGGCGTACCTATCACGTCACCACGAGACATCGCCGCCTTGTCAAGGTAGGCCGATCCTAGATGAAGCGCAACGCCACGTGAGGTGCAGACAGCTTTTTTACCTTACGAGGGAAAGGGGGATAATTGCGATTGATGGGCAAAAAGTATTAAAAAAAGATCAAGGTGGCTTTCGCCTTCTAATAAAATGCGCTTGAGACCACGTAACTTTTCTGAAACCGCTGTGCTATGTTGCTCTTTTTAAGTGTACACTGCAGGTTCAGGATACGCATGCAATCAATATATTAATAAATTAGATTATGATAATCATCATGATTACCTATTAACTCTTAAAAGCCCCCTGTTGGGGTAATAAGTAACGGTGGAGCATACGTAAGAAAGGAATGGTTTAACAACAAATAATTAAGTACAATAAGAGCAATATTTAGAAGAGAGCGAGGCTGATGAAATGCTAAAACAGTCAAAATACACAGTACAGGAACAAATATGCATTCAATGTAAAGAAAACGAAAAACCAAAAGGCGCTATGCATACGCACTGAAAACATTGGTAATACCTTTCAGAGCTTGATGGAGTGACGTATACCATTACTGCAAGGTCAGGTAAACTTTTCCGTTTCGCAATGACTACCAGCAAAAAAATAAAAGGCATTTAAACATTTCGTAGAGCTGTGCAATTGTTGAAGGCTGAATGTGTTCGAGAGACGGCTTGTAGTGCGGTTTGGCGTAAAAAGCGTGTCACGCAAGTGCACGTGGGAACTTACATTACAGTTTTTGTAAAAAGCATAAGAAAGCCGTGCCTCTTTATGTTCCAGAAGCCGTACATGTGCACCCATGCACGAGTGACATCGTGTGTTTAGAATGCACGGAAACAGAGTGAATGAAAAAGAAGCATGAAAGCGAGGCGTTAACCATTGAGCCACTCCGGATCTATCTACGGAAGCCACTCCTCTTGAGATGGAACTTCAAGACATCCACGGCGCAATCCAGAATGCTACTTCTAAGCTGCCCACAATTAAGCAGATTGACATATACACTGATTCCTTAAGAACTATTAAGAAGCTCAAGAAAGTACACAAGGCGATGGAGATCAGCGAGGCATTTCATAAGCTGAAACATAATACGGCTACTTTCGTAAAAGTACATAGGATTCAACGCCATGCAGCGAACGCACACAACATTGCCGCTGACCAGCAGGCGCACTGCTCTCCAGACATAGACCTTCCAGCCATTCCCCTTCCACCTCAGCCCTAAACTTACTCCATACCCGTAAAAATGTTCTCCGGCAGGATACACTTGCTCTCATTCCACCGTGTGTCTGCTCTCTCCCCCCTCACCTTACTAGGGCGGAGGAAGTTCTGCTTAGGAGGCTTCGGGCAGAGGTGGCCCTTACACCGGCCGTTATAATATCATTGAACGGGTCACATTTGCGAGTTGTTGATACGTGTCCGTACTGTCCCACTCCAGCGATGTAAGCAGATGCATAACACCTTTTATGGACATGTAAAGGGTTGCAGCCAGAACACCACGTCACCTCGCTCAAGCCAGCCTTCGCTACAGCGACACAGCCAGTTACAACCACTGGATACATGAAAACAGATTCTACAAGACACTACTTCACTTCATACATAACACCGGCCACACATTTAACAAAAAAATATTATGCCTTAAAGGCAAGTCATTGTCGCAATAAAAATTAAAAAAAAGAAAAAGAAGTATTTGGTGTGGGTGAAGCAGCTTTCCTAAATGCTCCATTATTTTGATGTGTGGCAACTAAAATGCTGACGTAATCTCTAACTTTGTAGTTTCGCGTTCGCGACTGCTCAAAGAAGGGTTCTTCCGCGTAATGCAGCCCATTAAAAAAACGTATTGTGAAAAATTTCTGTGTGTGTGTACTATGAATACTAGTGTAAATTGGTAAAGAAGAATGTTGAAAACGTCCTTGACCGGTGTGAATTGAAACGCAATCACAAAATCAAGAAAAGAAATGAATGTGCGGTATTTTATGTGTCTCGTGACTGGCAACACTCGACAAAAATGAAGATCTACGAATGGATGTCCCAACACCCTTAACCTAGAAGCTAATTCGATTAATATTGCAAGCAGCTTTCACAGAAAACTAAAACTGGCCTGTTGTGCCCTTTTTGTCGCTTTGCACTGCTTTCCTGCTAACAAAGCAAGCTAATCGCCATTTCTTAATCTGTTGAGTTCTTCAGAAGTGAAATTTATCTAGCTGGATCATATTGTAGCTCACTGGTGGCCATATGCCATTCGCCTAAAGGTGGAGATATCATTTTCTTTAATAAAGACGATGGCTAATCTGTAATCGATTGCGATATGCGCCGCTGCGCAGCGTGACCCTTAAAGGATTCAACAAGGCTTTGTATACAAACGCTCATGTTGAAAGTACGTGCATTTACGGTGAAAAAATATGTCCTGTTTTTATACGTGTACATTAGACCACACAATGCGATGCCATATACGCAATTGGCTAGGGCACTCCGTTGTTGCTGAACTTTGACGGACTTACGCATTATCGTCAACACGAGTTCCAATCTGCAGCTTTACGCTACAGGATGAATTGAAGCTAACTCGGTGTAGTATGATCATGGTACCCACTTGAGTCCAGGCAGCCCCCAAGAATGTCGGCGCAACGAATGATCCAGATTTATTTGATCACGGTACAGCTCGTCGACTCCATTCTCTTCCTTCTTGTCGCTCACGCAACGCCCCCTTTATTTCTTTCAATGCCAGGTGCACTTATCAATGGTAGCCTTCGGTCCGCCTTAGTTCAGGGAGTGGTCGTGATGAGGCGCTATATGAGGAGTCGCGCTGCTTATGTCACACGTGCTTCCGAGTGCTTTCCCCTGGAGATGTGATACATCTTTCTCCCCTCCGATATCGTACATCTGTCAAATTGTTTCTTCGTGCTCCTTTTTTGGGGCTCGAAGCAATGCCACCAGCTTATCATGGCGCAGCGCATGTAGTAGCGTGGCAGTTACGCTTCGCCATAGGTACTCGCATAGCGCCACAAACGGCGACACGCTATTTCAAAACGCTGTATCTTTTACAGAGCCAGCGTGACCGCCAACATAGCGAACACCAGGAATTGAAGACGACGGCCCACGGATCTGTACACAACTGAACAAAAAATTACTTGTATGATTTCCGTCGTGAGGCACTGCATGATGGGCTCTCTTAACCATGACCTGCAAAGCACTCACGAAGGGTAGGCGATGGGCGAGAGCAGGAAAGGGCTAGAGGAGAAGGTGGTCAACTGCTGGGTTGGGTGCATCTGGCTGGCATTGATAAAATAGTCGAGGCGTTGGTCCATGGCTCACGACAAGTGACTTGAGTGATAAAGCAGGTGTACCCACCGTCGAATCATGGCCGCTTGTAGACCATACTGTACAGCCCGAAGATAAACGCGACCACTTGAGCGACGAACTATGCGGGCGATCACTCTCCTGAGACGCCTACCTTCTGACGGTGGCCACGGCGTCTTCTGGAAGCCAGACCTTCCAGTCGTCGGCTAAGGTGTTGTACAGCCACTTCGACTTCTCGGCGATCTGCGCGTCAGAGTGGCCACTCTCGGGGAACCTGCAAGCGCCGGGATTTTCGAATGTAGATTGCCTCACGTTGCTCTCAAAGCATCTACTACACAACCTGCAGAAAAGAAAAAAAAAACTGGCAAGGTGAGAGTAGTCAACTCGCCACCATTATGCGACGTTGCATTATTTCCTGTTTTCTTATCGTATAATAAACTGATGAGGCCCTGTGACACTTTTCTAAGTAGTAATTCAATGGCTTCACTAAAAGAAAAACTTGTTGACTCATAAACCGACTGCCCCCCTCCTTCCAACTTTTTAGAATACGTTAGCTACGAGCGAATTTACGGCGATTCATCGCTCGCTTCAAAAACTTTCTCTTTTCGTACTATAGCGGGCGAGCTGAATGCTACGCAGGCAGTGGGGATGACAAATGCGCAAGAAAGCGCATCCGTCCGTCAGGTCGCATTGCGATCTTAGGCTTTATTCTTTTTCTTCTTTATCGAATTATTGGCGAGTGAGCGAGCGGGCACATGGCGGAATCCTGCAGCGGCCATGTTATCTATTTTGCGCAACCCGCGAGGCTAAAAATCATCCTGTGGCAGGGTACTTTGGGTCCATGGCGAGGTAACTAGTGTTTATAGCATGGATTGTCTGATGAAAAGGGAACTATTTTGTGGTGACTGTCAGAATTATTTGCATGTTCCAGACTTCACGCTGCACTATAGTTTTTAGCTCGCGTGTTCTCAGGATCCTCGAATATCGGTCAGCAGCGTTTTCTGTCCATGCATGCTGAAGAAGTATTTGCAAGGCCCCGTTTACGCGTATCATCGCATTTATGAAGAATACTTTCCAAAAGACAGACCATTACTACCCTTTTAAAAATGCCACTGCGCTTAAGCGATGAATGCCCGGCTTTCTCATCATTGAGCGGAATTATTACCGATGAAGACGTTCTAATAATAAAAGGCGCATCTATGCTACGAAAGAGATTGCGAGCATAGGTGAGAATGAATGTTACCCGCTTTACGGAGCTTCTGTTAATACCAATTTCTGAGAGTTCACGTGCCAAAACCACAATAGGAGTACGAAAAACGCCGTAGGGGAGCGCTCGGGAAATTTAGGAAACCTGAAGTTTCTTAACGTGCGCTGACATCACATAGTCTGTGAGCCTTTTGCATGACACTTCCATCAAAATAGGACAACCACGGCCGGGGACATTACTAAATTTAAATGTTTAACACGAAATATTGTGCAGCGATAAATGTGATGCAATGCTATTTACAATTAACGTATTCCAAGGACTATAGTGATGGCCTCATAGAAAAAAAAACGTGCCTTTCCTATGGCACTAGTGCTTTCTAACCTTTTGAAATTAAGCGCTAGAAAGTATATGGTGCAATTAGTCGCAGAACAATAGGTTTTCTTTCCTTTTTTTCTCCTTCGTTGTATATCCTAACAAGTATACACCAGATGAACCAGCAGCTAGTATAATAAAACAGCAAGTCTAGCTGTGTAGTGCTGTACTTTAAAAACAAGGAACCATGGTTGAATACTTGAGTATTACATTACATGCATGGTGATGTTGGCAAACTTTACTGTGTTTGTAGTTTTCTGCGTGCAAACCCCCCCCCCTCTCTCTCTACACACACACACACACACATACATATATATATATATATATATATATATATATATATATATATATAATATATATATATTATATATATATATAGATATATATATATATATATATATATATATATATATAATATAGATTACTATATATATTATAATAATTATACTATATATATATATATATATATATATATATATAAATATACTATATATATATATCTATATATATACCTGAGCCCGTACTAACGAAGGCGTCCCTTCCGTATCGCTTCGCTTTGTAGTATATGTATTAATCGCATTTGACATAACGTGTCCCGTAAATAAGGCGGAGACTTAATACGTGGCAGGACACCGCGTAATAGTTTTTTGACACTCTTTATCTGTACTATGACGTACATTAGTTCGGATAAATCGAATTGATAGAGTTTACCGGCAGAGAGGGAGCGCTTTAGTAAGAATCTTATTTACATTGAATATCTCACCACGTTCTTGAGGTGTGCTTTATTGCCGAAACATTTTATCAATATCATTTTATGTTCAAACCTTTGAATATTGGGAAAATGATTGCTTTACGGAAGCCTTTTCCGAGGGAATGTCAATACTTCCCATTGCATCACAGGTTTTCACTAGAAAACATCCAAATAACACAGCTTGTTTGAAGTCCATCACTCTTTGTTTGCCTTGTTAAGTGTCTATTTTGGGCTTGGTGAGCAAATGCTTTTTTGCATTCCGTAATGTTGACGCATTAGGAGGGGGGGCGGGCAGGTTTGCTATAGCACGTTCATTAATTTTTTTTCAGTGCGCTTAAAGAAAAAAACGCCGTGCTTTGTAATAATAATAATAATAATAATAATAATAATAATAATAATAATAATAATAATAATAATAATAATAATAATATAATAATAATAATAATAATAATAATAATAATAATAATAATAATAATAATAATAATATATTATTATTATTATTATTATTATTATTATTATTATTATATTATTATTATTATTATTATTATTATTACTACTACTTTGCAGGACAGCAACTTCTTCAAAGGGAAAAATCTCACCAACCCGATTGCAGTTCTCATTCTTCTACAAAATTGATTTGACAAATTAAGCAAAATTTGTCGTTCAAATCTTGTTTTGCCACTGGTTCATATATGTTCCTTTTCACACAGTCTCATGGTCCGTCTAGTACTTATTCCATTCTTGGGAGTTTGGCTTACATGTTCGGGGGAACAGATTCGTGGTTTCCGACAACCGGGTAGACCGTGAGTCCCGGAAGCCGCTTGCCAATAGCCGCGAAGGTGGTCACGAAGTTCTTGACGTTAGTCGCTCTCGTCACCTTCCACAAGTCGTGCGGTGGGAGGTCGCCAGTCCAGTAGGCGAAGTCGGGCTTGTAACAAAAAGAAAATGGCAGTGGCTTAGCTCAGCTATGCCAGGATATACGTAGCGTTTGCAAATGTTCAGCTGATTATTCTTAGCTTTCCAGATATCAAGCTTACAGCTGTTCCAACGACACACACACGGTATACGTATCATGTGGCACATGTATATTTATTTCGCCGGGCAACTACTTCGGGACTCGATGAGTTAAGCTTCTCCGCTCTACTGCTCCGTTGAGCAGCATTTGCCTTCTCCTTCTCCATGGCTATACCACAGTGGCAAACGCCAGTCAGAGGCGCTGTCAAGCGGCTCCAGCGCAGTGTCAGATGGCGACTGCACGGGGAAGGCGTGCGCGTCGGCATCCATATGTCTACCAAGGCTATGATGACACTCCTCTGGAAAGCGCACACCAGCGGCGGCGAGTCGCGCGCGGCCGCGGCCGAGTGCGAGGGAGGTGCCGGCTCCGGTGCGTGGCACCACTGATCGTCTGCGCAAAGCATCGAATTGCGCACACACCGGCGGCGAGCCGCGCGCGGCGGCGGCGGAGTATCATTGCGCATGCGCAGACCAGTGCCACGCGAAATTGGCTGAGCGAGACCAGTGTAGCTAACGCTACAAAAGAAAATGGTTCCATGGAGCTCTTAATCGCATTCGAAATGTCGAACATGCCTCTCTGCGTAGCTACATTGCACTTACGCGCACTGACGGGCGCCAATAACATCCTGCACCTTTATTCAGTCCATATAAACCGCTATGAATGAGCGCTTATACTAGCATGACTTGTCGGGTTTGTTGCATCTTATAAAAGTTAAGACGCACACAGGTGGGAACAGAGTGAAGTGCTTTGATTCTTCTTCGTGCTTCCACGCATGTGCACACTGTAACCTATATAAGACGTTTGTACTAGCTTGGCCAATACTTGCATATTGTCAGCGCGCCTTTTTCACTCCTGATGAAGGGTATATAGAGTGCATAGCTTGGCGCACTCGCTCATGAGTCGGCTTCACTCGGACTCACTCAGACTCAGATTCAGCTGTGAGTCTGAAGGGGAGTTAGTCCGGGCGAGTAATGTTTTCGCGAGTCCAAGTTCAAGTAAGTTCAAAGCTTGAAACATATTTCATGACTGAATGGGAGTGAGCTCCGCAAGTTTTGCCGACCTGTGATAGAGCATGAACATCTTATAAAACCGAAGCAGAAATAGCGGGACAAAATGGGCAGGCGAGTTGATTTTTGAGGAAAGTACACAGACGTAAAAGCACAGCTCTACAGGCGCATTAGCAAGGGACACCAAAGAGCCATGTACAGTAAGACACAGTCATACCATGAAGAACTGACTCCGAATTGATGCGATTTGAGAAGGGGCACAGCAATGCACGATATGAAAGGGCCCTTTCTTCTTTAACACACAAGAGGAACAATTTTTCACCTTGCGTCCCTGAGTTCCGACGTGCTCGAGCATGCTGTCCAGCGTGCGGAAGGGCACGTCACAATGGCGGAAGTCACCCCAGCGTCCCGCGCGGTCGGTGTCATTCTGCACCTCTCCCGAATCAGGCTGGCAGCACAGTGGCGCGTCGCAGGCTGCCAGGCTGCCTTCGGTGTATTCGGGGTCGTAGTGCGTGTCCGACAGCTGTAGCACACGAAGGGACGACCCCGACGTGTCCCTTGACCGTACCTGCTCGAGTCCAACGAGGAACGATACACTAGACATAAATCTTTAACTGCTTTAAATCTTTAAAGCTTTAACTGCTTGTCGCAAATATGTTGAATGTAACAAGCTGAGCATTCGCTGGCTGTTTTACAAGCTCACTTTTTATGCGTCAGTGCTGAGCGGTGACACGGACACATCGTATGCAGTTTTTGCGAGGTCTACTGTGTAAAGCTTACCGTATTCACTTATTACTATAACTGACTCATATTGATAATTGATAGACCAAGTATTGGTAGGGGGGGGGGGGGTCAGTGCTGTTTATCAAGGTACGCAGTTCAATGTAACTATAGGTAATGCTCAAAACACCATTCTTACCGCTATATGAAGACTGGTTTTATTACGTACAGTTACTTGACAATGTCGATAGCAAAAATGTCATTTGTGAAAATGCAGCGTGAAAATACGTTGACGATAATTCCACGTATGTTCTCAGCGTCCTGGCGTGGTTTCATTTCGTAGTTTATTGGAACATGTCTTTGAGCTTGCTTTTATGTGGCGGTTATTATTTCGTGTTACAGCGCATGTCACAACTTTTTTTCACACCACCGCTGGTAAACCACACTTTGGAATGCCTTGAGGGTGTTTCCCGATAATTTGTTTTTGCAAAAAATACGCCGTCGCCATGAGGTCACGAGTAAAATTCAAGTGATTCCCTGATGGTCGCCTACGTTTCTCTAGCTACCAATCCATTAATGTTTTCATCTATCAATGCTTAGTCATTGTTTTTTACTTGCTTCAGTTTTCGGGTAAAGATGACCAGGGTTCTAGCGCCATCTCTCGTGAAAGACAGGGGTGGCTGAACGTAACCTATATAATGCGAAATAAGCAAAAAAAAAGAAAACGTATCTCTTGAAGAAAGCTAGGTATAATAAAACGACTCCTGGTTATATGCAGCAGACTTATTCGAACACTCTGTTAAAATGATTGTCGCCTTACAAACCACGTGGCTTGCTAGAATGTTGAATGCTTTACAGTAGAGCCTCATGTGTTTCTATTGTGCAGTGTTCAGTTGTCTTGGGAAGCCTCTGGCAAAGTATTGAGATAGTGTAATTTCACCAAAATGTTCCAGTAGATCTCTGCTGTATGGAACCGGGAGTAGTTTTTTTACGACTAGTTTTCTTCAAGAGATTTAATTTTTACCGCTTATTTCCCATTCAGTCATGGCAGGACGCTGTTGCTGCCTCCAAAAGATGGAGCCACGTACAGATGTCCCCTAAGGTCTCTAGAGTTTTAAAAGCAGCGACAAATACAAGCACGGCCTCTTGAGGGGTCCAAGCAGAAGTAGCACTAGCAGACGACGCTCAGCTCGCTCGTATGCAATCCGAGGTCTCCTGAAACCACTCTGTGTGAGCACTTGAACCTGTTAATTACTCTCATTTGTGGTGAAAGGTGCTCAAGAAACATTAAACGACAGGGGGCAACTAACGATCTTGGAATACGCTAAACGTTGAAGTAAAACACTTTCTTTCCTGAAGCAGCTTCTGAGCAATCTTCCACAGCAGTTGTCAAGCATGTTTTTCGTATAAAACACGTTGTGAGCGTACTGCTACTTTCTAAAACTTCACGGGTAAGCTTGCGTAGTGTGAGTCACCTAACATGCGCTATGACTCGTTTCATTGAAATTGTCAGCTTTTAGAAGTATCCCTATAATTACCCGGTATTTACAACTACGCCTGCTTCGTTTAATAACCACTCTGTAATAAGGTGATTTAGGAGAACGAGATGCACTGCTTGTGTGGAATAATAGAAACCAGAGTACCTTCCAATATATAGAAAGCCTACCGTGCCCAAGAGTGTTTCGCAAATTTTAAAGTTTAAGGATTTTTGAAGATGTAGTACATTTATCCAAAGCCATTCCCCATTTACTACTCCCGCCACATTCATGACCCGGTTGCAATGTTACCTAATGCAATTTCAAATGAATTCGAGGTATGCATACATCTACAGGCCCTAAAACCAGACTGCAAGCGAGAATTCTGTGTTAGGTGACTTTTGTTAGAATGCACAAGTATATAAAAGAGTACTCATTAAAAATGTGGTACTATTGCATGAATTCATAGCAAAGTATTTCTTGGAAGGTTTGTTATGAATACTGATTCTTTCTCATTCGCTTGTAGCGTGGCTTCCGTTCTTTCTGCATCGGCAAATTAGCGAAGATGCTTGGTGCCGCATGCATGAGAAGGTGTGGTAAAAAACTAATCAGAAATACTTCTTCACTTGTGAGCTTTTAGTGTTGAAGCCAGCCCGTCGAGAAAAACAAAAGCCACTGTATTGGTTTCCAAGCTATCTACTGCTGAAGTACGGGCGTGACGGCATTGTATAATGCACACACATTTACGGCATGAAGATTGGCAAATTGATAGCAGTGTTACTGTGATAATGCTCACGCATATGCACGAAGAAAAGCCTGCCGCCAGGCAAAAGACTGCTTGAAGTCACGAATTTTACAAAACCCCTTCACACAGCCGGTTGTTTCCTGTGGCGAAAACTTTTTTGCCACTGATTCTGTGAGGTCATACCATCCTTAAGCATGTATTTTTGTCACCGCGAGGAACAGAAAGAAATTACGTTCTTTCCTTCGTCCACGCGGTAACACAACATAAGACATTGAGACCCGGCATCGAGCACGCCACGCTTCAAACATTGAATTCAAACGCTATGTTTCGGCATTCCCTCAACTTCAAGTACACAAAAAAATTTTAGACTACAACAACAAAATGACAGAGGTGCGTGAACTGCTCTGTATTTGCTAAAGCTATCTGACTCTATGTTTCAAAGTGCAGTCATCCGTATCTCTCGCCGGAGCAGCGCTGCCGTCGCTGGACCCTTTGTGCGCGGCGCGAAGGCCAAAAGTTCATGTGTCACCAATCCGCCCATCGCAAGGAGTAGCGGCTGAATGTAAAGCTTTCGCTACTTTTGAGAGGTAGAGGGATTTTGATGTCACCACGCCCTGGGAATGGCTGTGTGTGTGTGCATGTGTTTTGTAGCAACGAAGTCTTCAGCGAGCAAGTTTAGAGTCACATACATTATCAGCAACCATAAGTACTGAATGACAGCAATGAAACCTTAACCACGCTTCCATGATGGATACTCACGAACACTTTCAGTGCATGAGGTGATGAGGATGAATCAATTTCTAGATACTGCAGCCTACCGAAAGACGTTTTTGAAGTTATTGATAGTTATCGAATTAGAGACTTAGGCTAAAAAAATTACTCAAGCTGTCACAGCAAACAGCTAAACTACGAACCGTATATTGAACGAACAAGCGACTCACCCTTACCTTGGTTGCTGATCTGGTGGAGGAAAGCCTTTCGGGAACGTCTATCTTCCACACGTGTTCGGGCAACGTCAAATTTCCACACGTTCTGCCGAACATGAGCGTACATATCTCGTTCGGAGAGGACCTCGTGGTCCTCATCACATAACCGAGGTCGTCCTTCAAGAAGACGAAATGCAAAAGAGGACACAGTCCCAGTAAATAAAGGCTAATAATCGACTATACTGAGAAATAAAGATTAACATTGTGGTGTTACTACATCAGAAAATAGGGAAGAGCGGTTTACGATTAAGAAATGTCACGAACGCGGTAATCAATAGCACTGCTGTAGACAATCAATCAGACGCATATTTTACTAACAGTGCGAGCACACAAAGTTATTACAAATAAACGCGAGTGCTGCTTTCTGTATTTATTTTCTTGTACTACTTCGTGTCACCAGACTGTTAGCATCATATATTTCAGTTGTCGAAGATCTTACTTTCGAGTCAAGCAGCTATACGAAAACTCTATGGGTGTACTGCATCATCGGTGCATGGTGTGTGGTGCCTCATGTAATCGCACTAATTGCACGCCTCTGTTTTTATGAATGGGCGAAATATGGTAAACTGATTGCCCGTTTTTACTTTTTTTGTTCCTGTTAGACACAGATACTTGTAAAAAGCGGCTCCCTCGATTCATTCTTTCTTCGTATACGTCACAGCCATAAGACAGATTTGATGTCTTTAGGTATAGCATGCGGGCGTTCACATGTGAGGTGCGAGCTCGCAATTGTGGTTACATCATAGTCACGAGTGGCGCTGGCTAACTCTCCTTTAGTTGCACTTACAAAACGTTTACAAAACTACCCAATAAAGGGGACGGCGAAAAGACCACCGCTGAATAGATGGCACGCGGCAATCGGAGGTGCTGAGTTTGGTATACAAAAGCGGCGAGTGATTTCCTAGTTCACGTCAGTGAACTTTCCTATTTATTCGTAATTACTAAATTTAAACTTAACGTACATATAAGGCCACCCCGCCCCGTGACATTCTTGGCTTCACTGTATTACTTGACTTCATATGATGTCTTCGGTGGCGAGGCTTTTCTTGCAGAGATCCATCAAAGAAAATCCAAGTGCATGTAAAATTACGGATAATAAAGGGTCATGTAGAGTTATAGCAGTGAAATTACATCTAGCTAGTCGCAACGCTTTTCTGAGCGTTCGGCCGAGCGCAGTCATCATTGCCCTGGCCCAACGCTTAAGAAAGGAACAAATAGGTGGGAGGGGGGGAGAAGTGTAAAATATATATACAGGCAAAGAAGGAAAGCGCAAACTTCAGGGCTCGTTTTCTTCTTTAGACACAATTTTAATGAGAACTAACAGACAATATTAGCAGGGAAAGTGTGGGGATGCTATTAGAAGTAATTGTGAAATAATTGTGAAGAAATAAAATTGGATTAAAAGAGACCTTGCCACCGGCAGGATCCGAACCTGCAACCTTGGAATAACGCGTCCGGTGCCCTTAACACTGAGCTACGGTGGCGCTTATCCCCCCGTCCACTTGAAAGGACATATATGTGCATTTAGACGTGGAAGTGTCAGTCAGCGCCATCTTTTGCCAAACGTGGCGGCAAGCGTGAACACTCTTTTTTTGTATGTTTGGTGTCCATTAGTACGTGATCTCTTACAAGACGGCAGCTGAACAGTAATCCCTCGCATACCACCTCATGATGCCTTGAGGTGGTATGCCGACACCTCTGAAAGTGGGTGTCAGGCTGCGCATTGGTTGGAAGCCATGTCAGCCATTTAAGCCCTGTCGACACTAATGCATGGTTCTGTCCACGTTTTCTAAACGACAAGTATGCTCGATCTTGTATCAGCACTTAACGTGTCTTGCGTTATTTTTGTGTTATGCCCTGTTTATTTCGACCGATAAACATCACGCCGATTCAGTCGCATGTCGTCAAGCAGGGAAGATATCCGTATTCAAAAAAAAAAAAAAGAAGTGTTACTAGCGGCAGGTGAAGCCACGCTTTCATTTTAGTTGTAAAATAACCATCTTATCAGTTGTATACAGGTGTCGCCCAACTTCTAGCCGGTGGACCTCACCTTGTAGGCCCTGACGATTCCCGTGCATACTTCGCTCGTCGTATACGACTGCAAGTAGCATACGATCCACAAGAAGGCAACCAATAGGCGCCCGGAGATGGTTCCGGAATAGTTTTTCAGCACGCCCACCAAGTATTCGCACGTCGAGCAGGTCTGCGGCGTCGTTATACCTGTGTCAAAGGTCTCCATAACCTGCGTTATGTTTTCGAGAAACAGGTCCATGTAGATAGTATTTTTAAGGGCAATGCATACGTTATTACTTGTAGTTACTACAGAGTATGGCCGCGTGTTGACTCGAGTTATCTAATGGCTTTGTCCCGGCGAGTCCGATGTGCACCATTAAAAACGATTGCCTTTACCGGGCGTGACTGTTGTCTTTTTGCTGGTCTGTTGAACGATTCATTTTAACCCCTTGCTCCACGCCCACCCTTCTTGATCTGGTGGCTGTTTTATACTTGTGAAAACTGTCAATCTAAAAGCGATTATTACGCACATTTTAGGCGCTACATCAATACGTAAGTGTTAGGCAGCGTGCCTTTTTATTTCGAAAATGCCTAGATACGGAATTCTGAAGACCAATGCATTAGTCCACTGCGCTGACAATGCGACGTTATAACTAAAATGTGGGCGTTACCTACGCTTCTCTGAAAAATTACGACTTTAACTAAAACAACTCGGTGCTGACAGTGACTCTGCGTAAAAAAAAAAAAAAAACTTTCATTTCTTCACATTACTGCCAGATGGCGCCATGTTTCACGCAGCACCTCCGGACAAAAGGCTGTCGTCTTTCGGAGTCTTTTGCAGCGAATCACGGAGATACGCGGCCAATTTATCAGCGTGTAACAGTGACGGCTGCGTTTCCTTGCGGGCAAAGTGCATGAACGTTGATGCATTTATATTTTGGTACAAGTTATGAACAGCCAATTTCAGAGTATTGGGGAGCCGCTCTCTGCGGAGTTCTTCACCTTTCGCTTTGCTCCTTCATGATGTAAGAAACATAAATTAGTTAAGTGCGCTTTACTAAAACTAACATGAAAAACTTGAAGCAGTACAAAAAAGGCTGTTCAGTTTGGTTAATTCAAATTTAAAATAACGGATTCGACGATTGAACTCATGACTGCTAACAACATTGAAGCGCTTGAACTAAGACGAGAAATGAACTGGCTGAATCTTCTCAATAATCCTGTTAATCATAAGTTAGCCCCTGACCCAGGTGCTTATGTATTTCTTCTGTCCACTCGGCATACAAATCATCATTACGCCCATTTCTTGACCCAGTATTTCGCTAAAAGCAGCTTGTTTCAGCTTTCCTTTTTTTTTCGTATACTGTATTAGAGTGGAACTAACTGATCTTAGCCAATTTTTTGTAGCTTAGAGCTTCAATATGCACTGTTAGAGTTATTTTTTCGTATCATGTAATATTTTGCCATGTTATCTTTTAAGTAGATCACTAGTAGGTGTTTTGATTGCGTTTCTGGTGATATATTTTGATGATATCACATCTGTTCTTCCTTATACACCGCCTCTTGTAGCTGTCCTGCTTGGGCCACGTGCTGATCTAGAGTGTTGGATAAATAAACGAATAAACAAAATTTAGTCTTTCTTCATGCTGTCAACGTGAGTGGAAACTTAAAAAAATGGTCGTAGATAGCACAAATACACAAAAAAATAAAATGATACGCAGGTCAGGGCCGTGAAGAGAAACGTTGATTTTGTGCACTTGGCGTTATTGCAGAGAGGAAATGAAGACTCCATAACAAAAGGGGAATGGGCATTGGCTTCTGCAAGCTGTGAGAAGCTTCTGAAGGAGTATCTTAAGGCTTGTACTAATAGCAAATTTTAGGTTCGAAGCCCGTAGTTATTTTGGTAGAAGAATAACCTCAAATGAAGTTCGAATTGTATATTCGCATGTTACAAAGAAAGTCCTTTAAGCTTTACCTTTCACAGTTCAACGCGATAGCGTTATCCTGTCCCTAGTGAGTACTCGAACCACATGGTGCATGCTTTTTCATTGTCTGATGTTACTCGAGAAGTTCAAGTTGCAGATTACAACAATGTCATCGATAAAGTTGAAGGTGGCTGTTGCGGGTGAAACTTTCGCATATGGCTACATTCTCTGTGTAATGGGAAGCATACACTCTTAGAAAAAAGGTGGTAGTACTTGCTAACTTTGGTTGTTACATACAACCCTGGTAGTAAGCGCAGTTATTAACGGCAAGGGTGGTAACAGTTACTACCTCTGCTGTTACTGCCAACAGTTAGTAACTGTTACTGCCCTAGCCGTTACCACCCATTGGTAGTAACTTGATTGATTGATTGATATGTGGGGTTTAACGTCCCAAAACCACCATATGATTATGAGAGACGCCGTAGTGGAGGGCTCCGGAAATTTCGACCACCTGGGGTTCTTTAACGTGCACCTAAATCTAAGCACACGGGCCTACAACATTTCCGCCTCCATCGGAAATGCAGGCGCCGCAGCCGGGATTTGATCCCGCGATCTGCGTGCGGGTCAGCAGCCGAGTACCTTAGCCACTACACCACCGCGGCGGGGCCATTGGTAGTAACTTGTAAAGGTTTCAAGAAAAAAAGGTAGTAACCGATAGTACGTAGTTCATTCTGGCATATTATTACTCCTCTGCTAATGTTGGCTAATCAATGTCCTATAACTAGACGAATTCGACCAAGAATCGGGGTGTGCCATGATTGCTAAGAGTGCATAGACCAAATAAGTTTACTATTTTTTACGTATATATGTACTAAGAAGTAAGCGTGGGGTATATATAGCCCCTAATTCGCAAAGGCATGTCTGGCACAAGGGAGCACTTGCGTTTCAGGATGAATTATAACAAATATAAATCTCAAGCACTATATTATACTACCTGGTTACATGTGTTTGATGACGTAGCACAAGACGTTCAATGAGCCTTACTTATAAATTATAATATCTCATATTTATTTATTATAAAATGGCCACAAAAAGGCATTATGTACATGGCCAGAACAATGTACCGAGCTCATTTTCAGTGCATTTTAATGCTTCGCACGACTAATATATCAGCGCTTGAATGTGTCAATATATCAGCGCTTAAAAGGTAATAATCGGTTTGGGGATTTGACGCACCGAAACAATGATAATATTAGGAGACACGCCACAGTAGATTAACTGTGAATGTCCTCGAGGCTGATTGCGACCGTCTGGTGATTTTGATCTGCTGGTCTTGTTAATATGTGCTGTTTTTACTAAGTTTGTTGTGATTGTATATTACGAGGCGTGTAGCACTTGCTTATGGTTCGTAAACTTGTACTTCTTCGTTTTGACAATATCAGAGTGACATTTACATATCTTGGTTAAGTAATTTACAACAAAATGTATTTTCTTGATCTATGGATACCTTCTGCGTCATTTTTCCGTGTAACGAATATAGGTTGAGACGGTTCCTCTCATAAACTCTCAGAATCGCATTCACACACTATTTTGGAATAGATAGTCAAACGCCGGGTAGCAAAGAGGTAGTAACGGGGCAAGAAAGGTAGTAACGGCTGAAGTTACTACCTCTTTCATTTCAGTTACTAACTGTTTACTAACGTAGGTAGTAAAGAGGTCGCAAAAAGTTAGTAACGGTTGCAGGTAGTAACTGTTTACTAACGTAGGTAGTAAACAGGTAGCAAAAGGGTAGTAACGGTTGAAGAAAGGTAGTAATCACTGCAGTTACTACCTATCTGCTTGCAGTTGCTACATTTTCACTAATTTTTTTGAAGAGTGTACTTTAAACCGTGAGTAGCCATGCTCGTGAAATGTTTCAAACCTCCTATGCACTCTCTCGTTGTCTTAAGGGAATACGTGCAGTGACGTGTGTGCTTCTTGAAATGGTTCGCTGGCCTTGAGCCACGATGTAGTTTTGATAATCACTTGTTCTGGCGCCCGAAGGCAATGTACGCTTATACCACTCAATATTACTCCGGTATTACATGTGAAGCCTGCATGGAGAATGCGGGTGTTGGTAAAGCATGAATGTTATTTTCAGATCGTTTCCAAGCAGAGGAAGTTGTCTTCACTGCAGTTCTAAGGAGACTCGTAGCTGTGTGGTAGAAAATCTGCTAGCCAATCATACAGCCCGGGCTCGATCCCCATTCGGAACCGGAAACTTTTATGATTTTTTTTGCATGTTTGTCAATTTTTCGATCACGAATAAGGTGGTAACTTTCGCTCACAATCAAAGATGCCGACACCGAAGCCGGAATTGCTGCGAAACGAGCTCTCTAACGCTATCGCGTGAAAATGAGCATGTTTGTCATGAATCAACAATTCTGCTCAATATTATTTTAAAAATTTAATCAAGGCTTGTGCAAATCTCTTTTTATTGGTTGAAAGAGAAGTGGTTACAACTTTTGAGCCGTTGCATCATTACAGATTCGGCAGAATGCAAGTGATAACCTGTAAACACGCTACGTTTTAAAATTTACTACACTTGGAGCATATAAGCTGGTATAACAAGCTTTCAACTTAAAAAAAAAATGATGCATGACTGTAAAGGTAGTACGTTCATTTAACCTTAAAGTAAGACTCCAAGACTCCACGGCACTGTAGTTTTTTCTTGGAAAACTGTATTTACGGTATAGAATTTTCGCATTACAGTGATACCATCTTTACGAGAGAAGTTACACGAGGAATAAAGTGATTCGTTCATTTGGAATACTTCAAAAATTTCAAAAACCTAAAATCGAATAGAAGTGATTTATAATTCTGCAATATTAGTCTGAATATTGGAAGTGCTCAAATATTTGCACAAGCTCAAGTATATCGTCTTGTTCTACCTTTCTTTCACCTAGCTTCACTCCTTTGAATTTTTCTTTTTTTTGCTTCCTGAGTAAGTAATTCCACGATGATTTCGCTTGAAGTAACAGTAAAGTCCGTACGGCTGCTCGTACTCACCGCCAACATATTTACGTCAGGCCACGAAAGCGCGGCGACGTGTTCGAGGACCCGCTTCGTATCGAGTGGACCGCCCGAACCTTCCTGATCAGGATCCAGCAAGGCAGAATATCCCACGTTGGACAGCATGTCCAGTGCATCCTGCGGGTCGCGAAACTTGGCCTTGCCACGGTTAGACAATGAGTGCCACAATGAAAACTGTGCCCCCGCCAAGGGCAACAGCACTGCCGCGGCTCCAGCTGCCACCAACAATTGCATTGCTCCCCTTCTGAAAGGTTAAAAGCAGGAGTTTAGGCAAAATTACTTTTTTTCAGGGATTAGGGCTTCCACCACTCTTTATATACGTTTGCGGGTGTCTTTGTAAGTGAGTGTGTATGTACTGACAAGTAAAACTGAAAAATTGTGGCTTCACCTTGGCTGCGCCAGTAGTTAGAAACATAGAGAGAGAGAAAGAGAGAGAGAGAGAGTGAGAGTGAAGGAGGTTTATGACATAGACGCAGTGAGGTCGGCCTGAGTCAATTTCCTTACCTGCAACTCAGCGTTAGGTAAGAGAAGAGAGTGGCAAAGGAAGCACCGAGATAATGTTGATGATGGTGAGGATTGAGGATGGAGGTGAGGATAGATTGAAACCTTGAAAGCTCAGAAGTTACGTACAGTCATTTTTCGAGTTTCTTTTTCTCGCAAAAAGAGATTCATATTGAAGGATGGACATGCGAACATGGGCACAACAAAAAACTGAAGACTGCCTTGTCTTTTCTCCGTGTCCGCCTTTGCATGCGGCGTCCTTTAGCGTGAATGCGTACCAACTGGCTCAGCTCTTTCTGCTTCAAGAAACCCAAGCATTAAGTACATTGTGTACTGCCTTAGCAGTAGAGGCTGCGCTGGATCGTCTCTTCCGGACCTGTGACAGTGTTAACAAAGACCGTGCCCGACATTTATGCAGCCTGGGCTATCCATGAAGTGTAAACGACTTTAATAAGAAGGGGCAGGGGCAGGGAGGGGGGTATAAAGATCTACTAAAATGAGAGTCATAACCTTCGACTTCAGGGCTTGAGCAGAAATTGTAATCAAACTCAGCCATTTAACAAGTGTCTCGTTGGATCATAAGTTTATGACCGTGCTCTGCTTAGTGTATAAAGGAACAGCCAATTTTTATGGTTTGCTCGTTGTGCCCGATCTTCACATGGCATACCTTGATGGCAGGTTTCACAACCTTACCTTGGCGTTGCGTATATGAAAACGTGCTAACACAAAGTTAACATGAGCACATTGTTCTTTGGGCCGCCGAGTACCGCTTGGCGATAGACTAATAACTTCTAGTTCAAGCGTAAGTGTAATGGATTTTCCAGATGTCAATGTCGCACTCTGCAACGCATACAAGAGCGTTGGTAGGACAGGAACATTTCAGCGTGTACCCTCTAAAGATAATTTCACCAGAGAAATAAAGAAATATCGTTTACTCACGTTTTACACGTGCTACATTATTTCACTAAAGTTCGAAGGAGAGGTTGTGAGGATCGGCCTGATGAACTGCCATAATAATATCATTAGGAGTGTTGCATGGTGATTTCTTTACGCTGTCACATTTTCCTTATCTAGATTAGTCGCATGGAGATTGCTGAAATGGCATTACGTACATTCTAAATGCTAAATATCACAGTGGTTGTAGACTGAGTTTTGCCGCTTCGGCTGGTTATAAGAAATTCGGCTCGCATAGCCATTGATGTTGACGATGCTGGTAGCATTAACCGAACGCCATACTGTGGATCTCACCTGAAAGGTGGAAGTCAGGCCGCGTACTGTACTTCAACCTGATGACTCACACCAAAGAACGTCGCGTGTAATGACACCCAGTATTCTCGATGCTGCCCAATCCAGCAGGCGTATAGCATTTACCTATCTTGTTTCGGGACGAGGCCTCAGCAGAAACACACAATTTTCATTGAGCTCAATACATAGAAACACTAGCACCCTGTTTTACCCGCTAAGATTGTCCAGAGATAACCTTCTCCTTTTGCCGTTTGTACATGCACGCTCGGGCGTCTTCTCGCTAATTTGGGCACCACCTTGTTTCACACGTTTGGTGCGGCAAGTATAGTGTTATGACCTCGTGACCTGCAAAATAAGACGAAAATCATAAATATTGGTAGGCCCATGAACTAAAGTTGTGAAATGTGACAGCGTCTACCGATAACCGGCACCCCCCATCTACTAGAGGACTTGAAAAAAGCTTTTGCCGTCAATAGAGAAGAAATTAGGAACTTCATCTGTTAGCCGTCCTAACTGCATTGAAAACAGTTAGAAGGAAAGCCTTTATCATGCATTTCATTGGTATTTTTTGGCCACGTGTCAGTGGCACTCAGCTGCTTTAAATTTCTGCTCTCGCATTAGCTTGGAATTCTAGCAAGCACCGTCCGCATATCACCGTTCTACGCCCCCAGCGCTGCCTTCTTACCTGATGGCTGATCGATGACATTTAGAAGGCTAGCTATATCGGTTTGTTGGTTGCTAGCGAGTATGTGACAGAGCACTCTTCAAAAGCGCCACCACTACACTTGTTAATTTTGCGGTAATATGCTGCACCTTTATATACGTAGATTATAGCTCTCCCTGAAGTTATTTCCGGTGTATACTGCTCGTAGGAGACCATTTATCATCTCCGAAAGCGCTGCAGACACTGACATGACGGACGTTGGCGATATAAATTTCGTGTTTTCGCAAGCCCTGCAGCAGCTGGCTTGTCGAGTACTTTGATTTCCGGATGCATTGTGATTAGTTGCGGTACTGGTTGGGCTTACAATTTTATGGATATACCTGCTAACATTATAACTAAGACCATCACTCCAGTCGATTTGTCCTTTTTGATTTTACTGGATTATTTAACCGTTCACGCTTTACTACATTTTTGCTGTGTCACCAGGATTGTTTCGATGTGGGCAGCTTGTTTTATTGCTGAATTTTACCTATGTCTGCTTTTCGTACAATATCGCGGCAAGAGTCTAACCCATGTAGAAGCTTTTTGACCCTGGCCCTCAGCATTCAGAGTGTTGGATTGTTGTAAATCAGTAGAGTACAGTGAAGTGGTGTCCCGCTCACGGGATGGGCACGCCATGTGTTAGACGGTCCCTAATTTCAGTAAATTTTAGAGAACTGTACTTCTAGAGCGTTTTTTTACGGTGGGTGCATGTCGCAGAAGGGAAAAGTGTCTCAAAATTTATCTCATACAGCCTGTGGTCACTTGTATACCTCAGATGATGAAATAAACTAATGCTCGAGCAAACAAACCGTAACTGAATTAAGGTTAACTATTTCGACTTGTCATCGTCCCGTGTCCATTTTCCATAACGTTATACATTTTGACGATACAAGAGGAGAGCTGACTCCTCCAGGGAAGCATTACGTAGTGTATTGACAACTTCTTATACCTCATAAATATGTGTAGAGCACTGATAGACTCTCAGCTACGTCATGCCGCTGTGTTTGAAGCAGTAAACTTTACAGGCGCTTCAGTAACTATTGTTTTTCGTCAACGCCGCATTGACTTAGCTGCCATATGTTCCATAAATAGTCTTGGGAAGAAGAATGTGTTGGGAAAGAGAAATTACAGAGGAAGTCTATGTGATCGTAGCACGATGTCAGAAAAGTAATCTGCCTGATCTTTCTTTTCTTGTACGGTGCATTAAAACTGACCTCTCCACCGATTCAAGGCGGTAACTCTTGGAATTGAATTATTAGCAAAATAGAAGTAATGTACTGCCAGTAAAAAATATTTTGGGCTATCCTCACAGTATTTCGCAATTTGGAATTGGTGATTGAGAAGTATTGTCAAAATATTTTTTTGTGCACCTTCATTAACTATGCAGTCACTGATTAACAGAAATGCAATCGGAGTTACAACATGACAGAGCGTTTAGCATTGCAGGCCAGTCGAAGTTTCTGATCATTGAGCTGTGAAATATACTTCCAACTTTGCATTCATTTGTTTCTTTCTCAGCAGATGGTAATTTGTAGTTATTGTCTCGTACACACATTTCATTTGATAAGTTAATCTCACAGTTACTTTTCTGTTGTGCTTTGAACAATATACCTCGTCATATTTTGTCTTCAAGTTTATTACGCACGAGCGGTACGGTTCGTAACACCTCCATGATAACGTGAGAATGTCTCTTTCATACATTACCACAAAAAACAGAGGTATTACTACTCGACGTATTAGCAATGTTTTGCTACCACCTTTGTTTTATTCTTATTTTTGGTTATTTACTTTTTTTCGTTGGGCCACACTTTTTTCTGTATTTTATACTAGAAGTATCTCAAAGTGATTAAAATTGTGGCGTCATTTTTGAATAAGTTTATTCACAATATTAAGAATAATAATGTTTCATAATATATTCTTAAAATAACTCATTGTTAACGTGATTTTCAAAAAAAAAAACGACAGCATTAATGGGCAGCCAGCTGGTTTATTGAAGGAGCTTCGCTTCCAAAGAACTTCAAACTTCAAAAAGCATAGTCGTTGAGCTCCAAAAAATCTCGGCAGTCTGAGGATCAAAAGCCTGCGTATGGAGGGACGTGATGCAGCAGCTGATTGGATGCATTCCAGTGGCTCCTGCCCAGCTCTAACTCGCCTTTCGATAATCGGCAACCCTGCCGGGAGTCGAGCCAGAGAAAATCTGCCCCCGAGCACCGGAGCAACCGGAAGGGGTGCCGCTCGAATGAACGCCCAGCTCAAGAGATTGAGAGAGCATTTCTAATGAGTGCCAAGGGTGAGGTGAATGTGCTTCGAGTGCTTGAAAGCAGGTTGGCCGAGTACGGATTCTGTGAAGCCTTACCTGCACAGTAACGGCCCTTGCGCACGTCTCCTGGGTCGTCTTCGATTGCGCGAATGTCCCGTGTCCCGAAACGTGCGCTTATTGCGATACGCGACCCTCACCTACTCTAGCTTTTATTATAATTTTTCTTGCTGTACGAGAAGAGGTCTCGCTTCTTTCACGGTGCAGAATTTCCAGTTGGTGCCCGCGGAAGTGAACTCAAGTCATGGCTTAAGGCCATAGACTTTGACAAATCGCATGTATACGCCAACGCACTTATTTTTGTCGGTCACAGCCGGTCGCGGAGCTGCGGAGACACGTTGTTTATGATCCTTCAGGGGTTCTTCTGCGGGTTTGCCCCCGATTATGGAATCACGCGGCGAATATAGGGGAAGAAGAGTTGCATTTATGAAGCCCTCGGCCATTCAAGAATACCATTCATGTCAAAAGTACA